TAATTTGTTGGATAGAAATTTATAAAAAGCAATTCATTTATTGCTATAGATTATCGTTCATATACTACAGCTGGAAGTTGCTTATCGATTTTCAAAGCCAGAGGTATTAAGCAAAGCCTTTAATGTGTAATTTTGATGAGTGTTTTTGTTTGTAGTTAAACTAATTTCTCGTTTTCTCATGCGTCCCGAAATTTTGGCAGAGTTCGTTCGGAAGAGGATTTTTGAGCCACAGTTTGACAGCATACTAAATGTTTAGTACATCAATGTTATCGGCCAATAGTCTCCCAGATTTTGATTAGTGTCGCATCCCCTATTCCAACAGCCTCCAATGTAATAGGGCATGAGTATCTGAAACATCCCAACAAGCATAAATTAACTTGGAAGCCCTTGTATCAAAAATTCGGAAATTCTAGTTCCTACAACCAGCGATCAGTGATTATGGCTATTTTCTTGATATAACTTAAACCATGACATCCAGAATTACGCAAATAATTAAAAAATCTAGTAATAATTTAAGACCAATAATTGTAAAAATCTAATTGTTTAATATTATTTTAGCTATTTTTTTTTTCAAATTTTTAAAAGAATTATTTGAACGGAAGGCCTTTAAGCTATATGTCTTCTAACCGATAATAATCCATTATTCAATTAATTGAAATCAGAACTTTCTACCTTTAAATAACGAAATATAAAAGGTATGAAAAATAAACTGCATACTATTCTAATATTTCTCCCACTTTTCTAAATTCAACCTTAATCAAATCTTCCAAATTCAATATACAATGTCATTGAATTAATCATTTACTATATTGCAATTGTTCATATTATATTGTGTTAAATATTATAAAAATAGAAAAAAAAAACTATATTATTATTTTTCCTTAATTATTTAATTTACAAAACGTGATCCAAATAAAAACAAGTCTAAAAGATTTCAAATGAATGACAATTTCTCCAACAATCTATTTTAATGCCACTTTTCTTTCTTTTTCTCTTTTTATGAACTATGTATCCCTACAGGATTAGTTTCTATTCTTTTTTGTGAAGAATTGAAATAAATATAGAATAAAGAAAAAAAAAGTTATTTTGCTTTATTAAAGCAACCGCCGCACCACTCCATTTTCATGGAGATTTTTTTTTTTTAATTTTTTTGTTATTGTTCCTTGTGTTAATTTGTTTTTCGTGTCAAAAACATAAAATTGACATATTCCCACTTAACACTTGCATTTGGCCAAAAGAAAAATACAATTCAATAAAATTGAATAGAATTGAAACTTTTTTTTTATAGGAAATGAATAGAATCGATTTAATCGATACCATGGCACATACGAGTAGTTTATTTAATAGAAGATTTATTTAATAGAAGCAATCGTATTGTTTGTATTCAATGATAATTATAATGTTAATTATATTATATAAGGAATTATTTTGAGTTCAAATCAAATGAAAAACTGTGAAATCAAATTAAATTTTTATATAGTATGCTATTATATTAATTAAACGAACACCTGCAGGTTTTGTACGGAAAAGTGGAGAAAATTTCAATTCAAAAATAGTTCAATTTTCATCCGCAGAAAAAGGTCATCTTTAGGGCGATGCAATCTTGTAGTGGAAGGTTTGCGAGAACACTATCTTACGCAACTGCTCATATTTTATCAGTTCAAAAGAGTACTTGAGATAAAGAAGTTGGCATGGCAGATATGGGGGAGGCAAAATAGCTCTTCTAGGGTCGAAATGCATGTAAATTTAATAAAATTCAAAAAAATTCGATCAGATTTCAGGGGATTGGTAGATATGATAGGGTAATAAAAGAAATAGACTTGTGGCGATCAAAAGTCAAATTTTTATGCAACGATATAATTTTTTGTAAGTATCTTAGATAGAACCTTCTTACCCCCGGTTGAAAAATTCAAAAAATAAGAATATAACATCATACTATTCAGTTTATAACAGAATATTCAGAGATTGTGAATTCAGTTTATAACAGTTTATTACTGCAGTTTTAAAGTCACGAAATCATTTATAATCAGATCATCATAGTCATGAAATTAATTCAATTTTACCCATATTTATGCAATTTAAATTATATTTTCTCTAAAAATATCTAGTATGTATAACAGTTTATAATTCTATTATAAAAGAATATATACATGAACATTTAAATTTATATGTAGGACGCATTTAATAATAAATAGTTTAATAATTAATTACGACTGACACAGCAACTCTTGACAAAAATGTCAAAATTATTAAAAATAAAATGGCTATTTAAAAACTTATATACCTTTACATATAATTAAAAATAAACTGACCGAATATAACATATTATATAAAAATTTATTATATAGCATAATTAAAGTAGTTTTGAACTTTTAAGAAAAATTATAATAAAACTTTTTATATAAAAGAAAATTATACAAAATTTTGAATAAATTGTAAAATCCATAAACTATATATGTAAATATTATATAGCTTGTGTATAACACTAAACTAAACTAATGTGTCAATTTAAGAAAAAAAAAATTGAATCAAAAAAAGCTCAAGAAGACAAGAAATTCAAAACTCATAAAGAATCTTATATAATTTTATCATAACATAATCGTTTTAAGGATTCCTCTTGTGCCTTATACAATATTTGAAAAATTTTCATTTTGTATTCCATGAACTTTTCCATCTATAAGGATGAAGATAAAGAAGGTAAAAAAAGTACAAAATTATTACATAATAGGACTTTATACATTCTTTTAAGAGGAAAAGTTTTGACTTAAAACTTAACTCGCCTCTCTTGTTTTTTCTTTTAATTTTGCTTAAATTTTTTATTTTGTTCTAATTTTATTATTATATTTTACTTTTAACATTATGCTACATAACATAATTTAGGTTTTACAGGTGCTAAATATAAAATTTATTTAGTTTTTTTTTTTAGAATTTATGGTTTAAATTGGTTACTTGTAAGTTTTTTTTTTGTTAGTTTTATAAGACCGGAATGAATGAAACTACATACACAAGTGTAATAATGAATTCTAAAGCAATAAAAGTTAAATTTATTACTTATAAAAACTTTTCAAATTTTGAGTATATTTTAAAAACAACTTGTTAACATTTTCGTATATAAAATTCTAAGATTTATGATAACAAAAATTATTAAATAAAATATAATATGTCTCTTATATATACATATGTATATAATAAAAAAATTATAATGATTGTATGAAAAAGTATAACAATAATGAAAAACTTTAATGCAAGTGAACGTATGCTCAACTAAATTGCTGTTATACACATAAATATTACAAATTTTCTATGAAAATAATAATTACCAGAAATAACCCTTATATACATAATGCAAGTTCTAAGCCCTGTATATAAGTATCAGGCTTTCAGTATTAAGTCAATAAAAATTTTATTTAAATTATAACACTTGTATTGGATAATTTTTTTACAATTAAGCTATTTATAAGAATATTACAGGAAGCTATTTATAAGAATTTTACTGTTATACGAACGGGGAATTGAAATTGTTATCTTAATCTTTTAAATTACGACATCGTCACACTATTGACTATTGGCGAGGTTGGAGGTGACGACTCTTTTATATCAAAAAAATTTTCTTTGGCCTGTTGTATACCATACCAGATAACTAAAAAGTTTTCATTGATTATCTCTTTTTGAGCAAATTTTCAATACTGAGCAATTTTTCTTTGGCTGGAATCCTAAACTTGGGACAATTTCAATAGACCAAAAAGGGAACATTAAGGAAGGGAGTTCATTATATTCAGATATTTTTATTATAATAAAATTCTTTGAAATCAAATATTGGACCGGATATTATTGTAATTTGTTTACATTCTACTAGTATAACATTTTGGGATTTATAGGACATAATCCATATTATAATAATAAAGTACCACAAAATTGATAAGTAAACTATAAAGGTCTAATTTGCTTGAATTTATTATGAATTTTTATTTAAGGATTGATAAATTTTTAATCGTTTTACCAAAATACATTTAAATAACAAAATGTTTAAAAAAATAAACAAAATTATAAGAAGCAGACAAATTTTCATCTTATTTCTGTTTTAAAGGTAGGATTATACTAAAATAAATATAAAAAATATCAAATTTTAAAGCAAAAAAATTCTATTCTCCAACGAAGAAGCGAAAAAGGAATTTGCAAAATTATAAAACGTTGAGTTTGCTCATTTAAATTTAAGAATATTCGACAAAAAATAAGAAAATACAATTTCGAACAACTCACATGAATTTCCTTTCCTGAAATAATTTTTCAAAAATTGTCCTCTTTCTCTCTTAATTTTTTTTAATGTTTTCTCTTATTTCAACAAAATTGATATAATTTAATTTTAAGAGAAATGAAAAATGTAGTATCTCTAAAAATTAAAAACAACAAAAAGGAGAGTTAAAGCGCTTAATATATATATAAAATTTTCTCTTTATTGTATGCAGAGCTATAAAAAATTTTACGAATATTTTTGAAACTATCATGAAAGTATGTATATTTTTAAGTAATTTTAAAAATACTATGCAAAATGTAAATTTAACTTAACTGTTCTCTGTTATTTCAATTGTAAAAAATTTTTTAATTTTATTATAAAACAAAATTAAATTTATAAGTTGATTTCGATTTATAATACTTTGGTTGAAATTTCGTATAACATTGTCAAATCGACAATAGCTTCAGGAACAGTGTCTAATTTTTGAAAAATGTGATATTATTCAGAGAAATGGATCATAAAGTGAAGTAATTAGGAAAGCTTACTTTAAATTAAAATTTATTATGGTTACTCTTAATGCTGTAATATTCTAATTAATGTCTACATTTGAAATTCCGGTTTTAAAACTCTTTTTCAATATTATGTTATTAAAAAGTTATTGAAAAGTTGTTCGTAAGATAGCGCTCAAGCATTTAGAGGGGTAAAACAAAACAAAATAAAAACAAATAATCAGCTTTCAATTAAAATGACATTAGATTAAGGGCATAGAAGAAGGCCATTGATATTATTTTTTTTATTTTTAGCAAGTAAAATATCATTTTCATTTCCTAAAGTTACTAAAAGTTACTAAAAAGTGTTGCAATTTAAAATTACTGTGCAATAAATATATTTTTATGAAGATTCCTCAAATTTAAGAAAGTACACAAATATAAAAACAATCACAAACATTTGATGCAATAAATTATATAAACGAAATATTTTGACATATACTATAAATCTCTAAAACAAAAACAATATTGGATAAAAATAAAAATGCCTGGTAAAGTAGGCGTAAAAATTAAAGCTGGAAGAAATCTACCAGTAATGGATAGAGGTATTTTTAATATTTTTTTAATAAATAAAATTATTGATCGGTTTTTTTTTTACCCGAATCTATAGGTAGTGACACAACAGATGCTTACGTTGAAATAAAACTTGGTAGTGTTACTCACAAAACAGATGTATGTCGTAAAACTCTTAATCCACAATGGAATACTGATTGGTATAATGGAATATATAAAAATGCCGATAAAATATACTTTTTATTAAAAATTTATAGGTTCCGATTTGAAGTAGATGACGCAGAATTACAAGATGAACCTTTACAAATACGTTTAATGGATCATGATACATATTCGGCCAATGATGCTATTGGTAAAGTGAATATTAGTTTAAATCCACTTTGTCTAGAAAATGCTGGACAATCGAATCAAGGAAAAGGTGCTGTTATGTCAGGTTGGATTCCAGTATTTGATACAATGCATGGAATTCGGGGCGAGGTTAATATTATTGTTAAAGTTGATCTGTTTTCTGATGTAAATAAGTTTAGACAAAGTTCATGTGGTGTGCAATTTTTTCATTGTAAGAACGAATTAAACATTTTTCTTTAAATAAAAATTTATTAAATTTGTATTTTAGCACCTTGTATTCCTCATGGTTATAGAGCACAAATTATTCATGGTTTCGTTGAAGAGCTAGTTGTTAATGATGATCCAGAATATCAGTGGATTGATAAAATAAGAACTCCACGTGCCTCAAATGAAGCAAGACAAGTAGTATTTCTTAAACTGTCAGGACAGGTAAGAAAAAAAAGAATATTTACAAAAATTTAAAAATCCATCCAGAGTAATATTAATGTTTATTAAGAAATTGCTGAATTTAACAAATATTAGATTATTTATTATTCCACATGACCAGATACGCGCTCATATTTTATACATGGTTCAATTTCTACATTTTTTTTTGCATTGATTCTCTCTTTTTAAGCAAATTTTCAAAACTCTTCTTCTTTCTATCTTGTTTTAGCTCGTTGCATTGAAATAAAGTTAAATAATTTGCTAGAAAATATATTGGATCCACAGGTTGCAGTAAATGTATTGCTGCCATACCTTTAATTAATGGGTTTGACAATGTTTCTTCAATATATTTTCGAGAATCCTTTTTAATCGGAATATCTGGTTTGTATAATTTAGTTTCTATAACAGAGTAGTCGGTTTTAGAAGACATATCAGAACTGTCTTCACTTGTACCGGAAGTAATTTCTTCTGAAGATAATGTTATATTTAATTTTGTTTGAAATGCTTTAATTTTAGCGTTTATTGTTTTAAATCGTTCTCGGGTAAAATTTATTTTTTGTTGAAATTGTGGAATTTGTGGTGTAGAAATTTTGGTTTTACAACATTCAAGTTTCTCTATGATAATTTTGTATTCTTTAATAAATATTTTAACAACTTTGCAGAATTTTAGACAATTTAATTTATAATTGGCGAAAACTTTCTCTTTTTCTTTAATAATTCTTTCATTCGCTTCACAAAATTGCTTTTGTACGTCAAATAATCTATTGTGAAGTCGACGTAGTTCGTCACATTTTTTAATTGGATCCGGATTCACAATATTTCCAATACCAATTTTTGTAACTTCAATATAATTTTTTTCAAAGTCATATCTTTCTTGATTTACTTTCAAATTATGTTCAATTCTAGATAATTCTCTATTTTCTTGCAAAAGTGCAGACATAAGTTTTTCTATTTGAAATTTCCGTTTTTCAAGATGCTCTAAGAACATGTCTCCGCCAAATGATTCCAATTCTATTTTTTCTTCATCAGTCGTTAAAAGTGGCCGAATATTGCTATTAGTTTCCGACATTATAATATTAATTTTAGCAATCTGTATAAAAAAATAATATAATAATCAAAGGAAATAAATTTAAGCACACTTATCAAGGCATACTTATTTTAGGTACAACGAAAAATCGGATTGAAAGCAATTAATTTAGGTGCAAATGCTGTTATCGGTTATACTCAATGTTTTGATCTCGAAGGTGATGTTGGAGTCGTAGCTAGAGGTATAGGAACTGCTGTGACATTAATCAAAATTCAAGAAAATACCAATCAAATTGTCGTTGACAATGCACTGATCGAAGAGTAAGTTAAATGTAATATTTGAAGATGCATTTAAATATATGATTGAAAATTAAAATATTTTACAAAATATATAATTAACTATATTAATAATATAAATAAGAAGAATTGAGATAATTAATTAATTTTATCTATTTCAATTTTCTTCTCCTATATATAAATTTCTTTCATTATTGTTTATCAACTTATTGCTACTTGCTATTGCTTTTTAATGGCATTTGCAAATTTAAAAACAAAAATTGTTAAAATATTATACCTAAAAATATTTCCCGCTATTCCTACAAATACTATCAATACCTTTTCTTTGGCTGCCAACACAAAACATTCATTTTGGGCACAATTTGTTACGAAAAGGAGAACTAAAAAGTATCTCGAATTTTTAAGTAGTAGTTTTAATGAACCCGATGACAAATTTGAATCGGATGATTTAGATGATCCAGTAAACACAGTGTACAAGATTCTTGGTTTAGATCCTTTAGATAAAACATCAGCTCGATCACCCAAAATTATATTGAAGAAACGATGGAAACCTAGTTCCAAAGATGCAACCATATATGAAGAAAATCCAAATGATTCAGAATATAGTATGCAACAACTTTTGGAGCAAGAAGATATGCGTGGAGAAAAACCTCCAAAAAAATTTCACCATCACATCAAAAAAATAACGCATCAATCAAGAAGCATAATTTCAGATAAAGTGATTCATTTACGCACAAAACGTGACTTTGAAAATGAAGGAAAAAATTCAAAAAAAAATATTAAGGCATTGCATGGTTCTTATTCAGATCTATCAATTTCGGAATCTTTAAGGAGTTCATTCTCAGATATTAGAAACCTAATGGGATTTTCAAAAATAAAAAATAGAAAATCAAAAGATTTTCATAGATCTGTTAGTGATGGCAGCAATATGGCTACACTACTAGTATCGTCTGTAATGCGTGATCCAAGTTTAAATTCAATTTCGGAACATCAAACACATTCAAAAGTTATACGACATAACGTAAATGAAATTAATTTACCCAAAAGAAACGATTTGGGATTCCCAAAAAAATTGGCACCAATTGGTGACTCCATTAGTGATATCGAAAATAGTAACAAGATTGATTTGCCAGACTATGACCAAAGTCATAATGAATCGTCGTACAACTCGATATCATCAATGTCAGGATCATGTTCATCATCATCTGAAGAAGGCCTTTCGGATGAATTATCTGAAGCAACAACACCTAACGAAATCATCATGTTTGATCCAGATACCGTAAGTATGGTTGTTAAAACAGTTTTAGCTAAAGAAATGGAAAATAAGCAAGAATCAAATGAATGGATTAAACCTGGTTCAACTGAAGATTCCGATTATGAAAATATTGTTCATATTAAAAAACGTGGAGTATTATCAAAGCAATTTTCAACAGATTCATCTAGTTCTTCAGTTCAAACTGTCGCTACGAGAAATTCTAAAAGCTCTGAAAGAAAAGATAATATTAATGATATTCATTCAGATAATGGTAATAAAAATAATAGCAATAATATTTATAATAAAGACGAAATGTATCCAATAACAACTGGTGCAACAAGAATATTAAATAAAGATTCAAAAGATATGGAAAATATTATTATTGAAAATAAAACCAGTTATGAAAAATTGGAAACTTTATTAAAGTATCCTTCAATTGATGAAGATTCAGATAATTGGATTGAACCAGGTTCAACAGCTAATGAACCTGGTATAGATATTAGTGAAAGGCGTCCATCTATGTTACACGACTTGAAAGATAATATAGCAGAAAAATTTCACTATTTACAGGTTAGATTTTTCTGTTTTTTTTTTTTGGAAAATGGAGTTTGAATATTCGTTGTTTTAACACCTTTAACTAGTTCATTCGCAATATATGTATTTAAAACGATGCACATTATTAAAAATGCATATGTTTTATTTTAATTTACAAGCTTACTTTTATTACGAATGCTTTAATTTAAAAAAACTATTATTCATGTACAGCGAAAGGTATTTTGTTACAAAAATCTTTAATAAAATTGTTTATCTAGAATAAGAACGCTAATAAGAAAATTTCAAAACTTTTTAATCATTGATAGAAGAAGTATTTGTTCTAATTCATTCACAAATTAATATTCATTCAAAATTTTTAAATAGATTTATTATTTTCTTTAAAGTGTTACTGTTTCTATTTAATTTTAAATAAATACTCCGAGAGCTTGTCTTCTCTCTCATTAGTGAATCTTTTTTCAAACTTGTTTTGTAATCTTACTTTATTTGCTTACTCAATCTTAATGCAATTTATTAAAAAAGATTTAAAATTCATTACATTCTGATATGTAAAGTAAATGTCCTGTAACTACTTTAAAAAGCGCAATTACAGAAGATAATTTTGTATATTTATTTTATATATTATTATAAATGTTTTAGAAATCGTGTTCTAATAATAAGAACTATAGGAAAAGGGAAATAACTAATTCTCGTTAAATAACTAGAAGATAAATCGAAATTACGAATGCAATAGCTTTTCAGTTAATATTTAAGCATAAAGGATGATGCCGCTTGAAAAAATAGTTAGTCGAAATATAAAAAGGAAGCTAATTAAGAATTTACTTGCTCAAATTACAACAAGTTGTATAACGTCTTTTAGAACTCCAGGAGAATTAATAATAAGGATGAAAACTTTAAATCAAAACCACTTGGCATAAGTTTGCGATTTTCTCATTTTATTTTTGTTTTTCATTTGAAATTTTCATTTGTTGTTCTTTTCTTCTTTGTTTTTTGTCACGTTTCTCTACGAATTTATATAATTTTAATCTTCTTCAATATCGGACAAAAATTTGAAGCTATTTTCAGAATAAACAAATGAGCTGCTTTTTGAAATATCGTGTCACCTGAAAATTGCTAAAAAATCACATCATGCTGCTTCTGTTTTCGTAAAAAAACAAGTTGCTGTTAAAAAAAAATGTGTAGCTTTTATATTAACAACTAAATTGTGTTTTTTTCCTTATTTTTTTTTTTGTGTTATTATTCTTTTTTTTTCCGAGCAATAAAAATGGCTATGATAATAATTAAATTATACGTTTCGTTTAATTTTTATAATATTTTAGGAACATATTCATATGCCTCATTTATCTGAAAATAAAGCTAAAAATAATCGAAATCGTGACATGAAAACTTTAACTGAATCAAAAAAACCAGTAGGAAATGAAGAAATTTTTAATAATTCTTCAATTAATAATAATAATGCCTTGATATGTAATAAAGTTGACGGTGATAGTGAGCCAAATGGTGTTCACAGTCCAACTAAAAAACGTCGTTTTAGTATAGATTTGATTATTAAAACATTGCATTTGCCAATACATCATCATCATCAGCACGATGATCAAGAAATTTGTAATCAAATTGATAAATTGAATATGCAAGATGATGAACGAGACAAACATAAGAAGCAAAAGAAAAAACATAGACATTCTGATGGATTATTGGGTAACGCAATGCGCAGTATGTTAATGGAAACTTTCAATATTGCAGAAGAAATTTGTCAAACTCCAGATAAAATTGATTGTGAAAAAAATTTTCCTGAAAAAACATATCGTGAAGATAATTTTATTTCAAGCAATAATGATAAAGACAATATTACGAAAAATGAGAATTCATCACAATTTTTGGGTGTTTCTTCTATTAGGTACTTAATAAACAAAACAAAACCAAATTTATACTTGGAATTTCTGTCCATTGGAAATAACTTTAAAATTCTATTTGCCATGTTATTTCAGTGAATATTCTCAAGAAAAAACTGCAACGAATGCAATACCAAAAGCTATTGTAATAGAACCATCAACTCCAACTCCTACTCCTTCTCCTGATAAATCTTTCAATTCTTTCATTCATCCATCATACGATCAATTGTTTTTAACTGTTAATCCTAAAATCACAAGTTGTAATAAATCAAATACCGAAAATTACAATAATTCTAGCTGTCATCATTTAGCTAAAAGAAATGTTTTTAGTAGTACATGTACAAAAAATAATAATAATTGTTTATTAGATAGTAATAATCATGAAATTAATAATTATACATCATTAGACACATTTTACTTAAGTTCTAGTACTAACAAAGCGCATACGCTTATCCCATCTGCTCCTTCCTCTATTCAACAACAACTTAGATCATCAACTGAATTAGCTTTAAGCTCAACATTAAATAATGGTGGAGTTGTTTCATCATCTAATAATGTGGTGAATAATATTGCACAATCATCTGAAATTATACAACAACAACAACAACAACAGCAACAACAAAATTTACAATCACAACAAATTCAGCCAAATTTTCAAACAACACAAAATCAACAACAGCAACAAAATAATAATCATAATAATATTAATTTAAATTCTACTCAAGATATTTCAACTTTAAAAAATAATATTAAAAGTGAATCAATAAATAATCATTGTTCAACTATTTTACAACCTGGTCACACACGTGCTGAATCAGTTGGCACAAAAATCTCATCACCTGTTAAAATTAATGGCAGTAATAGTAATAATATTGGTAGCGGTAATACTTGTATTAATTCAGCAACAACTGTTTCAAATAATAAAAATACCGAAATATTTAGAAGATCTTCGGATTCGGATTTAAGTGTTACACCAAAAGGTAAATTTATTTTTTTTTTTGTTTTAAATAATATTTTTAACAATATTTAATTATATAATTTCTGTAAATTACAATATGATTTTTCACACATATTTATTTGTATAAAAATTAGCAACATTAAATACATAGTGTCGATAAATTTCATTTAATTTAAAAAATATTTATTCGATATTGAATATACTTATATGATAAAATATGGGAAAATTATCATTTAAATTACAAACAACTTTGAAATACAAAAATTTATAGAAGCAAATAATTAGAGTTGCCAATTAGAAGCAAATTTTTGCTTATCCATTATGTGATAGTTTTTAGTAAGCAAAGTTTATCAAATTCATATTAAATTTTAATTAAGTCTCAAAAGCAAATATTTTTATTTTGAATACAAAATTTTAATAATTTAGCATTGACAGGTTGTAAAGTTTTAAAAATAAATTTATTTTTATTCATAATATGTACATACATACATATATATATAAATGAATTTTACACATTTCATTTACCAAGCTTAAACCGCTTTCGAGTCGCTTTCATTTTAAATAAAAAAAAACATAGCTGAATGGAACACACTATGCTAAATTGTACATATATACATATTATATAAATGCACGCAATTACATATGCACATATTCGGGTATATTATGTAGATATATACGTTAATTTTATTAATTTTTTTAATAATTAAGGGTTCCATTTGCCTTTAAAAATTTCATCTGAATATTGGAATCAGTGAATTTTCTTGAAAAAATTGAAAAGAATATTCTGGTGTCTTAAAAATATTCTCTCCTTTTCGAATTATAAGATTTTTCATTAGAAAATATTGTTTATTAGACGATATTGAAAATGTATGATCAATTAGTCTTTAAAAAACAATTAAATTTAAATTAATGAAATTGTTTTGCATTACGCTACATTTCGGTTCTATTAAAAAATTAATCAAATTTTTGAGTACAAATCTTTTTGTAAAAAAGAAATTTTTTTTCTACATTTGTAAAATTTTTTGTATATATAACTAAATAAATATAAATTATTAAATTAAAATATTGTAAAAAAAATTAAGTGAAAAAAATTATAAAAATTATTAACAAATTTTTCGTATTTGTTTTTAAAAATAAAAAATTTAATGAATTAATTTTAAAATAAATAAATTTAATAATTAAAAATAAAACAAAAATATATATAAAAATAATTATACATATAGATAAATCAAATTTATTAAAATATTGCATGAATTTTTGCAGTTTGGGGCCGTAAAAGTGAGTATACAAAAACCATAAATAACAAGAGGAAATCAAAAAACAAAAAAAAAAAAAAAACAAAAAAAAATTAATTAAAAAATTCAATTGTATGTTTTTAATTAAAAAAAAAAAATTTTTTTTTTTTTGTTTTTTGAATATTTTCTTAAAAGTCTTCAAAATTTTCTGGTTAATGGGAATTCTCTTTACATAAAATATATGCATACATATAATATAATGATATATGTATAAACATACTTATATATGTATATATATATATACATATATATACATATATGCATATAACTTCCTCATCTGTCTTTAAATGTTTAAAAAAAAGTGCATGAAATATATTTAAAACAAGCAAATTAATTAATTCCAAAGCAATCCCGACCTTGTATAACACTTTAACAATTTGTATAAATACGTACCAAAAAAATTACCCAGTATAATTAAATCTTAAATAAATAACATTATAACAGTTTTTACACAATAAATTGTAATATATTTTAACTTATATTAAAGCCCATATTATTCGAATAGTTTAACACATAATTGCATGCTTTACATAAAAAATTTTGTAATTATAGCAAAATATAGCCAGAGCCGTTTTTTTTTCTAGAATCCAAAAATAAAGTACTTTTAAAATACCATACGCGATTTTTTACAATTGTTGACATGAAATTGACTCTTTAATTCTAAAATTTTTTGAAAAATTTTTCTAAATTATAATTAAGAAAGCATCTAATTTATTTTTTTTGAAGCTTTTAATCTTTTAAAAACACTAAGAAACTACTGATATCTGCAACCAATGAGATCAAGGTTATGGCAATTTTTATTTTCGTAACTTTAGGAGTCAAACTGCCTGAAGTATTGTATAAAATCTTTTATTAATACAAATTAGTTACAAAATATTTTATTTATATTAGTAAAATTTTTAATTTAAATTTTTTAATTTTAAAAATTTTTTAGTTGCAATGGTCTGATGTATCTTAAATTTATATATCATAGTGATGACGAATCAAAGAGGAAAACGCCCGAAAATAGAAAATCAAAAAAATTATTACTTTATATTGAAAAAAATCGAAATATTGGATTAAAACAGAAATTAAAAAGTGGTCCCCAAATTACCTAATTATTTTCTTAAAAAAATTAAAATAAATGTAATAAATTCCATTAAAAAATTTTCATTTAGACAGCCATCAATCAAATCCCTCGATTACGAATTAGTTAATATACTTAATAATTAAATATTTTTAATAAAATTCCTTATACTTTTTAAATATTATAAAAGTACCATTTTTTTTACATAAGCATGTAAATTGTGCACAATTTAAAATAAAAAATAAATTTCGCACCTATTCCATTAAATATCAAAATTAAAATCGATTATAGGTTGGGATTGCGAACCTTATGTTCAAAAAAAAAGAGAAACAATTAAAAATTATAATAAAATATATGCGTTATGTCTATGTATTAAATCAAAAAATCTATGTTTATTTCCTTATATATTTTCAAATACATAATATAATATATGTGCAACATTTTTTTTTTTCAAATTTGTCTTGCAGAATAATAATTTTATTCAAATAACATAAAAAACCGAGTTCTTGTTGTAAACATAAAATTTAATCCTTAATTTAAAAAAGCAATTACATAGGTATTATGTTCTTTAACAACAGCAATTAATTTATGTACAAAATTTTATTAACATTACATATAAATGGCTTTTAATTTTTAAATTTGTAAAAAAATATAAATAAAATTTATAAATATAATGTGCCTTGAAAATGGCTACCGCTATTATTTTGTGTATGAAACAATATTTTTTAATTTATTAAGAACAGTTTTAAGATTATTATAATTTATAATACACTCGATATAATACGATATAATAAATAAATCTCACTTTTGTAAAAGTTTTATCGGCCGATATGGCTAGTATCGTTGTGTATATAATTTATACTGCCACACAGAAGAAAATTTTTGTAATTACACAAGAAGACAAGGTACTTTTTTGAGGGCGCTAGTGAGTAGTTTTTAGGTAACTACAAACATTTCGTTCTGTATACACAATACTAGTATATAATTTTATTTTTCGAAATAATAGCGCTGGCATTCCACAACAAGGCAAAATATTAAATATTTAATTTTATTTATTATACAAAATATTATATGTTTAAATTGTATACAACACATATTTAAATTAATTTTATCTAAATTATATTTAAATTTAATTAACATATTGTAAATATTTTAACTAATACACAAAACAGTATTTCATAAGTAAATAATTAAAAAAAAAAAAAACAATAATATTTATAATATAAGAAAATATTTTATTAACAAATAAGAAAAATATACAAATAAAATATTTGAATAAATTACATATTTTTAATTCAATTTTAATTGAAAATTTTTATATTTAAAATGTGCGTTTAAAATCACTATTTTTTTTTCTTATTTTCTGATAATATTTTTAACTTTAAATATGAATATATAAAACTCTACTGACTAGAACTTTATTTTATTGTTCTCATTTTCAAATTTTGTTTTTACCTAGAAGCTATACTACTGTCACTATTTTTCCAACAATTTTTTTATTCCAAAATTTTATTTAATTTTTTTTAAATATTTGTATTAAAATAAAATTAATCGTAAAAGTAAATTAAATTTTTCAAAATGACTTAATCAGATTTTTCAAAAGTTATAACTATGTGTGTATTATAAACAAATAACTAGTATAATTTCTAAAATATTTCAAAATTTTTTAAAAAGTAATTAAAATTGAATAACTTAATTAAATAGAAATTAAATTTACAGCATAATTTAACTTGTAAAATTCAATCAGCTGCAAACCAAGTTGTCCCATAAAAGTTTTCCTATTTATTCTAATTATTTAATTTTAAACAATATCTCTTGCATTTTATTTGCAAAACACAATTTTTTTCAATTTCAATCTTTATTAAAATAATTTTTAATTTTTAAAATTTAAATTAATATAAAAAATTCTACAATAATTATAGGTATATTTTACGATATACAATATTTTTTTTCCGAATCCAAAATATCTTTGCATTCTTAATAATTAAAAATTTGTTAAATTTGTTTTTAACCCACTGCATAATTTGTTATTCTCATCTTTTATAATTTTTTGAAATCTTGAAAATTTCTAAATATTTTTTATTGAATTAATTACCAATATTTTTCGACAAAATGGTAAGTTCTCTAAAATATAATGCATAAATTAATTAATATTGTAAAAAAAATTTTTGAAGGCCTCTTTCAATTCAAAAATATTATAATATTAAAAATAATTTTGTGTAAAAATAATCATTGCTTTAATTAAACATAATCATCACAATTAATAAAATTATTAAAAATAATTTTTTTTTATTATGATATTGAATAATTTTTCATCATCAAGATCATCATTAAATGTTGTGTGAACTTGTAAAAAATGAATCGATGAAATATATATATATATATATATATATATAGATGTATATATATTCTTATTTTATATATTGGCAATCTTTAAATGTTTATTATGTACATATCATATTAGATTTTTTTTTTTGATGTTATTGCAAAATCAATTAAATTAATTATTTACAAAAATTGTTTTATTGTTATAGGAAATTCAATTTGTGTTGCTAGTGATCGTCTTGTAGCAGCAACAACATTGATGAGATTAAATGCACCAGTTTCAACGAAAATTTCTACAACAGCTGAAAATATTGATATGTTAGAATATCCATTTTTAACAATGGCTAAATATCCAGCAGGATTTATTTTACATATTGGTAAATTTATTTTATTGTTTTTGGTTATTTAATATTAAAAACTTAAAATTTACGCTTTATTTTAATTTTAGGAGCCACCGTTGCGGCTAGATCTGTTAAATTACTTGAACGAGTGCCAAATTTAGATGAACCAGAAACTCGTGATTCATGGTGGACCGAAATACGTATGGAAATTCGATCTCATGCACGTGCTTTAGGTTGTAATGTCATATTAGGTTATTCTGAAGTAACAACAATATCGTAAGAATTTTTTTTTTTTTTTTTGTTTTTAATTTAACTAATAAATTTATTTTATTTTAATTTTTAAAAATATAATTGTAATTTTAGAGATGATGTTTGTGTTTTATCTGCAACTGGAACGGCAGCAGTTATTAATATGTCATATTCTGGTGATTCATCACAATTTGATATTGTAAGTAATCCAAAGAAGGATACAATGACTGTATCGTCTTTAGATGAACGAGAATGTATAAAAGAAGGTAGAGGATCAGTTAAGGGTAGCGGTGAATTATTAAATAAGGAGATTTCATCATCATATAGTGGAACTACTAGAAATTTTTCTAACACAATTTTGCATAATAGAGCTTGTGGAATGTGTCATATACCATATACCATAAATTCAGTACCTGTTAGTGTAAAAATGAATAAATGTGCAATATGTAAACGTGGTAAAGTACCAGATGTCTTAATGGCAACAATTGAAATACCGGAATGTCTTCAAATAACTGGTAAATTTTGAAATTCTGTTAAATATTACTTTCATACGATTAAGTAGTATTATTTAAATAATTACAAATACTTACTATTTTTTTTTAGGACGAGGTTGTTTTATGCAAGCTCAAGTTGTCAGAGCAAAAAAAGATTTACGTTCAGAGTCAAACGCAAAAGAAATTTCGGATGGACTTCCTTTTCTTGAATATGAATTACATCGTCTGTTAATAAACAAATTAAAAGCAAAAGGAATGAACGCTATTTTTGGATTAAAAACACAAATCGCTGTTGGTGAAAAAATGATGGCTTTAATTGCAACTGGTACAGCTGTTTTTTTAACATCACTACCACCTCCTACAGTGCCAAAAATCGTTGCTGGTAATTCTTGGAATGATGATGCTCGTTTAAATGATTTACAAAAATCATTACAAGAAACTGTAGAAAAAAATCGTGAAATATATCAATTAAAAAGTGTTGATCCAGATATTCAACAAAATGGCAAACAATCTGATACAGATGAATCGGATGATGAACTATTAGAACTAGATTTAAATGCTGGTAACAAAGACACATGTGTTCTCGAAGTTGATGATATTGAAGATTTAGAAATAATTAAATTATTAATGGAACCTTGCCCTCCAGAAGGATTTCATATTGTCAATACTCAAGCAGTACCCGGTCTTCATGATATGGAAGTTGTACGCAATTTACAGATGTTTACTCAAGTTTGGAGAGCAAAAATCGCTATTGGACAAAACACAGGACATTTTCCAAAACATTTTCAAAGACTTTTGCAAACGATTTATTTTAAATTACGTACAATGATTCCATGTGCTGTTTGTGATCTTAAATTTCAATTAGGATTACCCGAAAGTGTAAGGGACCTAATTAAATTTGTAGAACAAAATATAATTAATATTTTCAAAATGAAATATTTGTATAATGAAAAATTAATACATTTTAGGATGAAATACAAATTTTGGTTACTGGAATGACATTAGGTCTTGCCGAACCCAAACTTTTAAAACAAAAACGTAAAACAATAGCTTTAACTCAACATCAAAACTCAGATCAATGTCTTAACATACAACAAAATAAGAAAGCGATGGATGATGAATTGATTTTCCCTCTTGATGAGGATAATCAAAATGCAGATAACCCACAATTACTATCTTGCCCACCCAATTTGCAATATGGATCACATTCTTTAAAGTTAAAGAAAAATTCTCCTTCCAGAACTAAATTCTGTTCCGTAAAATATTCTAGGCATGTAAGTTAAATGAAATACGAAATGACAGTATATTACAAGTATACATAAAACATAATGCTCCTTAATTGGTTTTTTTAGCTTCCATTACACGAAAGATATGGTGTTGATATAACTCCATTAAGCTATATACCGGGAGGCAAAATAGAAAAATACCTTGGGAATTTAAATTTCTTTTTTATCAGAGAGAGTACCTCAATAAGAGAGAACGGTGGTATAAGTGGATTTGTTCACGGATTTATTACAGAATTGTTGGCTGTAGTGAGATCACATATTTCAGCATTAGGTGGCAATGCTATGGTATCTTTTTATATGACTGAATTAATATTAGTTGATAACCAGCACAAAAATCAGGTAAGAAGCAAATACATCTGTATATACATTTATTCATTGAATTATATATTGAATAAAGCTTTTATAAATTGAATATGCACAAAAACATTTTTTTCTGTTTTTTTCAGGGGCAATGTTTAATAAGTATTGGAGGTGATGTAGTATATGTTTCATATTACGCCGATGACTGATATAGGGTTGAAAAAGGATCTTAGCAAACATTTGTGTTTGCTCGACCAAGAAGTTTTATATTTTAAATATGTAATATTATATTTTAAGATTTTAGATGAATTTTTATTTTATGATATCGAATCCCATAAAAGAAAATTTAAATTAGAATGAATGTAACTTTGTAAAGCTAGTCAAAAACAAAAAAAAAAACAAAATAGCGATAAAACAGATATATGTATTTATTTTTATATCAAATGAAACCCACACAAAAAGAAAGTAATAAGATTGTAAAAGAAACTAGAAAATGTAAAGAGATTTTTTTTAATAATACTAATAAGAATATTTACATGAAATGCTTTATTCGTAGAACGTCACTTTATAGATGTAATGACTCGACTTTATTTTGTTTTGAAAAGAGAAAAAAAAATGTAAATTTAAAACGTTTGTATATTCCGCGTATTTATATATTCGAAATGTGTCACATTATTAAGAATTTATGTACATTTAATATTTGTTTTTCATTTATAGTTTATAAGTACTTATTTAATAAAACTTAAACTCTTGTTATTGAGTTGATAGAATTAGTTTTAAAAAAAAAAATTTAAATATAAACCAGTTGCCTCAATTGAATCTTCTTTTATTTTACTGGTTAAATACATAATTAATTTAAAAAATTTTTCTATATCCTACAATATTGCAATTTTATATACGTGAATTAATTATAGCTCTTATTCATTTTTAGATCGTGGGACAGTTTTTCTTCCATAGGAATTATACACGGCAGTAGGATGAAGTATATAACAGTTTAGAAGAATATAATAATATTAAGAAGAATGCAATAATAATATTTAAAATAATTTTTCAATAATTTAGTATAAACTAATGGTCAAGCTTAACAACTTCACCACTATAGCTTTATGAAAAATTTTTATAGGCAAAAACGACACTGAAATCAAAAATTTCATAAATTTCATAAACGCTTTTAATAAAAACGAAAACATAAAATCAAATCTTATAACAAGAAAAGTGTGAAAAGCTAAAGAATTGTTAAAAATAAACAAAAAAAAATTTCATAACCTTCCCATTTAACATTAAAAGTCCTGAATTTTTTTATAGTTTAACAAAGATTCATAAAAGAACAACATACAATGATTTCAATCTAAAAAAACTCATACATTTTTTTTTTAATTTCATTATCTTTTCTATGAAAGTTTTATCTATGAAAGTATGAAAAAGGACAAAAAAAAAATATAAATATTTTTCAGAAAAAAAAAAAAACCTACCTACTTATGTTTTCTTTATCCTTCTCTTCTCTATATTGTAATTTTTCCACATCACTCATCAACATTAAGGATATTTTCGTTTTATAAACAGATGTTTTGAAAAGTTTTGTATAGTTTAATTTTTATTAGATAGTTTATATTTTCAAAGTATCGTCATTTTATATATTGAAACTATAATAATTTTTATTTAAAAAAAAAAAACATAAACACAACTTTCTTTTGTTATTTTAAAGAATAAATTTTAGCAATCAACCATAAAATCCACAATAGACTCTCTTGGTAACCTTTTTACACTATATTTTACCGGTGGTTTAATTTACCAAAAAAAAATAAAAATATAAAATTTAAGGTGTTTGATCACACTATACAATAAGACAAGGCAGTTGGTCCTTTATAAAGGGATTTTTAGAAAAGAAAAAAGAAAAAACAAAAGTCCTTAATATTCTTTAATGTAAATATACAACTGAAAAGGAGGAATAACTTTATCTTCATTTATCTTCGACCTTTTCGGAAATAAACGTAATCTTTAAATATGTATATATATATTCGTTTTTTGTTATTTATAGGGTATTGAGGGTGGATTACATTCAAATATTATAGAATCAAAGATTTTCCTGAAACAAGAAAATATTTTGGTTTTTTCTTTCGGTTTTCATTTGGAAAATTATTTTGGTGAGTAATGATGTGTAAAATTATATTAAACTTAAGCTAACAATTTTTTTTTGTAAATTTTTCTTTTCGGCTTTTATGTATAGGATGAAAACGTATTCAAATTTGAACTTTTAAGATTTTTATATTTTACAAATTTCAAAAAATTTTTTCTAAATTCAATGAAATATACAACATTAATACATTTTCATGGACCTAAAATAATACACCGAACCAAAAAAATTTTTTTTCGACTTTAAGTACATGTTTTTTTTGTTTCTTTTATTGATTATTTCAAATTGTATTTGTCTGGTTTACCTTTCCTTTGCCAATATGAAAACTTTGTTGTGTTTTTTTGTCTTTATTCATGAAATCAGATATAAAACTTATTACACACATAGCTACTTATTTATTCTAAGTTCAAGTAGCGTAATAAAATTTTTTTTTCTTTAAATTTTCTATGTTTGTTTCTGTTATACAAAGAAATCTTTGATTATAAGAATTTATTTTTCAATTATCAGGAGATCATCACTTTGTTTATTCTTTTTTTTTTATTATAAAGCACAAATATTTTATTGTTATATACCTATCGAATATTTAGGACTTGTCATTGTCATCTAAGATTTTAGAATATAAATGAGTTGTGCTCACAATATCACGGCATTTTCAAATTATAATTATGTGAATGCAGTATGGAATTTAGAGTGAAAAATTCATCTATATTAATTAGATTTTCTTTCTTTGTTTCAATTCCAAATTTTTAATTATAAAAATATTTTAAATCTAAAAATTTAGTTATAGGAAAAGTTTGTACTTGAAAATTAACTTATTCTTTTTGACAGAAAAGTTTAATATCCCATGATAACCATGATTCTAGTATTTTTGACGATAACAATACAATTAATTTTTATACATTTGGCCTTAAGTTATAAATTTTAAAAATATTATAGTTTTAAAAACTACCATACAATTTTATCATCGTATATCCATTCTATATCACCGTATATTCATTTTTCAAGGGCCATTGCCAAAATTATTAACTGCCAAATGTAAGTAGTAGATCAAAAGTCGCTTATCCTATAGGAAGTGAAATTTCAAAATAATAATTGAAGACATGAGCTGATTTGCAAAACGGAATCCAATTAAAATTTAAAAACACCGAGAAAAGTAATAAAATTTTATAAAATTTTTATAAATTTAATTAATATTTTTATTAAATTTTATGCTATAAACTTACATTAATTTAGACTCAGATTTCCATTTTCATATAAAATCCTCTAATATGTTAAACCATCTAATAAAAAGAAAATTTAATTATAAACGGAACATGATAATTGTTTAAGCCTATAGGTAATCTTTATAAAAATAACATTCCAAGAAATTTCTATCCGGTGAATAGGTTATGGTGAATTATATGAATAAGTTTGCCAGTTTGTCACTACATAATCTTCAATAAATACACATATTATGTTGAATAGAAAAATATATATTGTATATAACATATATATACATTTTCGAATCATTGAACTTCCACACATGGAATTTTATTATTACATTTTTATAATATTCTCTTGTTTAAATTCATCCTAAATATTTTCTAGTAATTTAACATACTTACATTTATTTGAAAAAACAAAAAAAAAACTCCCATTTTACAAGAAATGAAATTTTAATTCAAAAAATTATTATTATAGCAAAATAGTAAACTTTATACAGCCCATACCAGTATATAGGTACACATATATAATAATAAAAGTTCAAACTTGTACATATACATACACATGTACATATTTATTTCAACATTATTATACATAAATTTTATTCATTCCGACTGACTTTTCTATTAAATTATCAAGAATTTAATTTCTATGTAAGAAAGGAATAAAGAAAATGTAAAAATGAAAGGAAAAAAAAAATCATACGAAAAATCACCACTTCCTGCATCCTTAATCTTTTCTTTTCTTTATATGTGTTTTCCTTTTCTATTTTTTTTTTTCTCACTCTCTTTTTATTTTAAGATTTTATTCTCCTTTTTGTGTGTATTAACTCCTTATCTAGACCATTAAGCAACACTAAAATACAATTTGAAATATCTGCAGAAATGGCATTCGAATGACGACGACAACAATTTATACATACTTACATACATATACAACATGCGAGTAATAATGTAGACTTGATTCTATGCAGTAAAGATCTTAAATTACTTTTAGAATTATAGGTTAGTGTTAAGGTAAAAATTCTAAATGCGTTTTTCTCATTATTTTTACAAAATGCATATTATATATGTATATATAGGTATACTAAATATAATATGTACCTATGTGTGTAATAAATGTTATACAATTATTATATGGTACTACATTTATTACAATTTAAAAATAAAATTTATTTTCATTCTTATAGCATTATAGAATTAAAAGTTTTCGTTTAGAACAATATACGATATAATCGTTTTTAATTTAGACCCTATTGTTTGTCGTTCCATTTAAAATTGTACCCAAAAATCGTGAACTATTTGGAATTTTTTGAAAAAATAAAAATGTATTGTATAGTTTAATAAAGAATATTACACTCAAAATGGGAATTTAAATGCCCAAATCCATTCCCTTTGTACCAGTCGCTTCATAACACGTAAGCATGTATGTAGAAATGAAAAATTTAATTGATTCAAAATCATATTAAAAACATTAAAATTTTTATTGTTCCTAAGGGAAAAATAAACATTAAAATTTTCGAACTACTTATATGTACGTAAGTATGTAAGTATATTTAGGCATATGAATATAAAATATTGAAAATTTTTTAAAATTTACTTAAAAGCTTATCGTTTTTTTTTAATAATGGAAAATTATTATTTAAAAGATTAAAATGATCAGAGGAAAATTTTAAATATAGAAGTGGAATATAAAAAGCTGATGAAAAGATTAATTGAAAATAACAATTATGAGACAAGAAGCAACTCAAAATTTGACAGTTTAAAAATTTGACAGGAAGGACAATTTAAATTTCCTGTCATGACGTGTATTTTGACAGACAGCAGATTCAAAATTGAAAAATTATTTTGAAAAAACTGCATTAACTTTGCATTTTCTTTTTATAACCCTCCGCATTTAATTACATCAGAGCCTCATGTGAATCAATTACTTTATTTATCACAAAATTTCATGTTATCGAAATCTATTTTCACTTAACTGAATAGCTTGAACTCTTCCAATATCTAAATTTTATCTGATTTTATTGAAATTTTTATTTTCTGTTATCTATAAAAAAATTTTCTTAATAAAAATTAAATTGTAATTTTTGACCATCATTGTACTTTTAAAAGTTTCAGAAATCATTGTACTTCAGAATTCAGAAATTCGAGAGAAGTAATTTAAAATTTGTAATGATAAGTTTTTTTTTTCTTATAATTATAAATTCATTCTTGTGTTAATTCTCAACAAATCAATCAAAGTTAAAATCAGTATGATTTATAGTTTTATTTCTAAATGTCAATAAAAACAAAATATAAAACTTAAGGATAATCTTAAGCTACTCAGTGTATAAAACTTGTAGTTTAAAAGTAAAAATTTTGAAGTTATAGAGGCATAATTTTATTCTAAATTTTATTGAAGGTGTGTAAAATTTTCCACATTAAAAGAAATTTCGAATTCTTTCAAAA